TGTTGTCTCCCCCATGAGAATGGCACTCCATGAGGACAGATTTGGGGAGGGCCCATTTTAGTCACTGCTGGGTCCCCACTGCCTAGAACAGTACCTAGCACATGTGAAGTGCTTAAATATTTAAAGAATATACATAATGATTTTATTGTGTTATAATTAACATACCATAAAATTCACCCATTCAAAGTGTACAAGTCAATGGTTTGCTTTTGTTTGTTTTTTATCCTTGCCTGAGGATATTTTTTCCATTGCTTTTTCAGAGATAGTGAGAGAGAGAAATTTCGATGTGAGAGAGACACATTGATTGGCTGCCTCCTGTACGTGCCCCGACCTGGCTGGGCCGGGCATCGAGCCCACAATGATGGTATGTTCCCTTGACCAGAATCGAACCTGGGACCCTTCAGTTTGTGGGCTGACCCTCTAACCACTGAGCAAACCGGCCAGGGCACAAGTCAATGGTTTTTAATAAATTCACAGAGTTGTGCAACCATCTCCACAATCTTAGAATACTTCATCACCCCCATTAGAAACCCTTACCCATTAGTAGTCTCGTCTCCCAGTGCCCGGTACAGTGCCCCTGGGGAGGAAGCCTACATTTGCCAGGCTCCTGTGTAGCAAGGAGTGTCAGGTGACTAAGTTCCGACCAACGGGATGGAAGCAGATTTTCTCTGTTTCCTCCCCGCTCCTTGCTGTCCGGAATGTGAACAGAAGGACTGCGGCTCAAGCAGCAGCACTGGGCCCTGAAGTGGAAACCACTGGTCAACAGATGCTGGAGCGACCAGGAGGAAGGGGTCTGGTGAGTGTGGCGATGCCACCGCCTCTGGTCTCCTGTATCTGCATGACAGAGAGAAACGTCTGCTGTGTTGAGTGTTTCAGTGTGAAAATACTGCTGTGCTAGTTGACATGTCTGTCGCTCACAGCCAAATCCAATCCCAGCAAATGTGTCTCCATGGCCCCCTCACAGATGAGGACACTGATGTTGAGGGACATTAGCCTTGGGACATTATTTTTTACTCAAATATTTGGGAGATGAGATGACTACTAATGGGTAAGGGATTTCTTTTGGGGGTGATGAAGTATTCTAAGACTGTGGCGATGGTTGCACAACTCTGGGAGAAAAAACAATGTTCTCTTTTTTGTTTTTCCCAAATCTAATTCATTTCACCTCCCACCCCACCTTTTTTTTTTTTTTTTTTTTTT